GTTCCGTCGCCCGAGTCGCTGCCGTCCGACGTCTCTGCGCTGCCGCCCGTGCCCGTGCCTAGTGCCGCAGCCAGGTCGCCAGGCCCGCCTTGCGCCGCGGCTGGCTTGGGACGCCCACGCACCAGCCGCGAGAGCCCCGGCGGCGCCGCGCGCGCGGCGGCCTTTTGGCGAATCGCAGTGATGGACCGGCCGGAGCTGCCGGCGGCATGGGAGCGGCGCGGACGGGCAGCGAGGAGCAGCGACGCCTGCTGCGGCACGCCGGGGCGCACCCAGCCAAAGTGGCAGCCCTCGCGGAGCTGCTGCTCTCGGTTTAGCCACTCGTCTGGGGTCATGCGCGCGCGCAGCTCGGCGGCGACGAGCTCCAGCAGATCGGCGACGTGGCTGCCCAGCGCATCCCGGTCGCCCAGCGCGCGGACGGTCGCAGCGGGGTCGGGGCCCTCGCCCGCCAGGCTGGCTTCAAGAAAGGCGCCCAGCACAAAGGCGCCCTCCAGCTCGCTTAGCGTCCAAGCGGTCTTTGCGTGGGCGTCCATGCGGCGCCACTTGCGAACCAGCAGCTCGGCCATGTAGCGGCACAGCTTGAGGAAGAACGGGAAGCGGTAGCGCGCGGGCACGTGTGTGCGGGCCTCGAGCTTGTAGATGCCAATGTGCGTGTTGAGCGACTGCATGACGAGAAAGTTGCCGCCGATGACCAGCGTGTCGACAGGCGTGAAGACGGCGTGGATCCAGCCGGCCGGGATAAAGAGCGTGTTGCCGGCGCGCACGCGGACCTCGAAGCACTGCTTGACGTTCTCGGCAAACAGGCTGACCGCCTGCTCGGGCGACTTGCTCCACGCCTCAAACTTGCGCACGTTGGACGGCAGCGGCGGCACGAGATAAAAGACCTTTTCGCCCGACAGGACGTGGTAGTACACCCACGTCGCGCTAAAGTCGACATGGAAGTCCGTGTACGCGTTCTGCACCCCCATCAGGCAGTACGTCTTTACGCGCGGGAACCGGTCCGGCTTCCGCTTGGCCGCCGGCCAGTACCGCTCAACCAGGTCCACCTCGTCCACCGCCTGCGGCCGCCGCACCATGTCGTCTAGCGCCGTCCCCGACACCTCCAGGCTGATGACGTTGAGGATCCGCTGCCGCCGCCCCGCCATAAAGTAGTCGGCCCAGTCGCCCAGCGTCCACCCGCTCAGCTCCTCCTGCGTCAGCACGTCCATCACGCTAACTGCCGTGTCGCGCCCAACGATGCGAGCAATGTCCGCCACCGTCGTCGCCGGATCGGGCATCGTCATGCCGAGGCCCGCCGGGCTGTCGACGATGAACGGGTCGTTGCTGTCCCGCGCCCGGATCCACGCGCCCGTCACCTCGCGCCCGTCCGCCAGGTGCTCAAACTCGTCGTCCATAAACTCGTGCGCATCTAGCCGCAGCTTGTACTGGTTGAATGTGGCCGGCTGCCCCTCGTTGAGCTTTGTATAGTCGACCCTGTTGTGCTTGCGCTGCGACCGCCGCGACGCGGGCGATTTGTACGAGCTCGGCCCGTGGGTCGCCATGCACCGCTTGCAGTGGAACGTGTCGATGCACTCGCTCTCTGCAGCCGAGATCCCGACGCACACGCCGTGGTACCATTCGGAGCACACATCGCATTGCAGCCACGCCTCGTACGCCGGGAGGTCAACTGGCGCGTCCTCTGGGCACAGCGGGCACTCCTGCGGGTCGTCCGAGTCGCTGCTGGACATGGGCGCAGTCGATCGGCGCAGGTGGCGGGCGTTGACTGCGGGAAGGGCAAAGTCGCGTGCTGCGTCACGATCTCACACTCGCTGGCGCCCGCAATGACGCTGGTTTGAAGGAGGATGACTGGCTGGCTGCGCTTCGGCCGCGTGGGACCGAGCCTCCTGGCCCGGCACCACACGTCACTGGCTCCGGGGCAGAACCCAATTATGGTCAGCTGGCGCGCCAAGTGCCGGCGGCGGCGGCGGCGGCCGTTGCCGCTGCGACGGCAGTAGCCACACCTCTGTCCCCACCGCCACGCCCCTCTGGTCCACATCCGGATCGCGCGTAGCACATCCTGCGGCACACAAAGATGCACCTTTGTCCAAACCGCCTTACATGTGGCTCCGGACACACAAAGGCTGGGCTTGACGCGCTTGCAAAGGCCGACTGGCGCCGTGCCCGTTTGGCTGCGCCTGCTCCCAGTCGCGCAGATGCCGAAGTCACTGACCCGCCAAGGCGGCCCGCCCACGCCCCCGGAGCACCGGCGACTGCGCCCGCCCGCCCACTCTTCACAGCAGCGGCTGGCCGTCTTTCCGGGGCACCCCCCAGTCAGCCGTACCCAACACTTACTATTATTGCGCTAGGCCGGACGGCGTGGACATGGTAGGTTTGGGGCCGCCTTCGGCAGTCGGCGCCTGGCGCGATTGCCGCACTGGCTGTCCAGCCGCTGCACTGAATGGCCTGAAAGCGGGGCGCCCGTCATTGCCAACACATAAAACAGGCGCCGCCAGCCGGAGCACCCGCGGCGCCCTGTTTGGCACTTCCTTCCGAGCTACCTCTTCGACACTCGCCCAGGCTGACATCCACTCCGCTCTCCCCCGCTGCTCCCCTGCGCCCGGGCAGCACACTGTAGACGTTCTGTGCCCAGCACCAACGACGATCCATCTCACACCTGTTGGGTTGTGCACAGTCATGTCTCAAGGCCGCAAGACGCCGAGCCCCACCGCCTCACAGCGCGATGTTGTGCCTGCTGCAGCCACGCGGCGCCCGCTTGGCGTCAACGGCTACGCCATCCGCGAGCTCGCCGGCGAGGGCGCGTACGGGCGCGTATTCAAAGCCGAGCATCTCGCCACGAAGCGCAACGTTGCGCTGAAATTTGTGAACTACAAGGACAACAGCAACAAAAAGTGCCGGCGACACAACCGGAGGATTGAGCGCGAGGTCAAGCTGCTGCACCTGCTCCACCACCCGCACATTGTCCGCATCTACGATGTTATGCACTCGCCCGAGGGCGTCGTGATGGTCGAGGAGTTTCTCGGCGGCCACGACCTGCTTTCGCACATCCAGTTCCATGGCTATCTGCGCGAGAGCGAGGCCTGCCGCATTTTCCGCCAGCTCGTGAGCGCCGTCGACTACCTGCACAGAAACTGCATTGTGCACCGCGATCTGAAGCCGAACAACGTGATGCTTGACGAGGCAAACCAGGTTCGCCTCATCGACTTTGGCTTTGCCAACATTTTCGAGTGGGACAAGCAGCTGAGCACCTTTTGCGGCTCGCCCAGCTATGCGTCGCCCGAAATTGTCTGCGGCATACGCTACACGGGCCCCGAGGTCGACATCTGGAGCCTGGGCGTCATTCTGTACTGCATGCTCAGCGGCTCGCTGCCATTCCAGGGCGCCACCCAGAGTGAGATTTTTGCCAAGGTCGCCAGCGGCAGATTCGCCATGCCGAGCCACATATCCAAGGAGGCCCAGGACCTGCTGCGCCACATCCTCACCGTTGACCCGCGGAGACGGATCTCGATGGTGGGCATCCTCAGGCACCCGTGGACCAACCGGTTTGACGAAAAGCCCATCGACAACTATCTCCCTCTGCGCCCGTCCGTGGTGCTGCAGCCCAACGACGAGTCGCTCAAGAAGATGCCTGTCTACGGCCTTGACTCTGCCAGCACTGCATCCGCGCTCTCCTCGAGCAGCATGGCCATGACGCCCGTCGTGAGCATCTACCACCTCATCGACGAGGCGCGGCGGCGGCGCGAGTCTCGCCACGCTCGTCACTCGCGAGTGCCCATGCCAGCTAGCTCGACAAGCGTGTACTCTGCAGGCCAAACCCACTAGAACTTGTATAGCGTTGATAAACCCCAGCCGCTTGAATGTATATTCTGCTACTTTGCATTGCGATAGTTTCCCTGTTGCGACAGAGGGGTTTTGTCCAACCTGCAACCAGTGGCGTGGCCAACGGGATTCCGAGGCATGGAGGTAGGATGGGCAGCGAGGGTGCACGGACGCCCAGCAGACAGGCTGAGCCAGGTCTACTAGGCACTGGAAACAGGACTTTCAGAAAGTGCCAGATTAGCGAGCTAATCTTGATCTCGTGGTGTAGATGGTGATCACGTCTGCCTAACACGCAGACGGTCTCCGGTTCGAGCCCGGACGAGATCATTCTTTTTATTATTTTTGGCGGAGCCTTTTTTTTGCAGCGGCGGCTGGTCTGCTGCGTCGCGACACTTTTGGCAGCGAGGAGGGTGGTCAACGTATGTGGGTTTCGAGAGAAAGACCTTTCAACTACTGCGGCATAACGCCGGTCTGCTCGTACGCCTTCAGATCCGCGGCCAGGTCGATGTCGCTCTTGGGCACCGCGGGGGTCTTGGGGGCGGCAAACTCCTTCACAGACACGTCGGCCTTGGCTGCCTACACCTGGGGAAGCGTGCAGACTAGCGCCATCGTTAGGTGCGCGTCGCCGACCCGCCAAGCGGCGGCTGCTGCTGCTTCTGCTGGCGCGCGGACTCACCTTGGTATCGGGCTTGTAGTTGCGGATCTCCTTGAGGTACATCTCCTGCAGAAAGTCTACACCGTGCACAGCGTGCGCCGTCAGCTGGTGGTCTGTCGAACCCTGCGTTGCTGGGGCCCGCGCCGGCGGTCCTTACCCTTCTTGGCGGCACTCGAGGCCGAGAAGCCGCGAGCGGCGAGGCGGGGCACAGCCTACACAAGCATCC